CTGAAGAAATGACATAAATCAGAGCGAGTGAAATTCAGGAATGGGACTTTTTAACTGAAGGCAGAGTCCCCATGACTCTCCAATTAAAAGTACGTACTTTGAATTTGATTTAACATCCCATCTAAACCAAGCATGTGATAAATGCTTTTAATATAATCTTAAGGTAAAAAGAACTAGGAACATGTCCTTATGTATATAATTCTAAAACAGTAAGAATGTGGGGAGGTACTAAAAAGTAATCATATTGCTTCATTTGCATAATCCACTTAACACACACTTTCTGTTCACATAGTCTCAGTGATGAGTTTTCAGAAAATACAGTGGTAGCAATTTGAAAGCATGCCACTTTCAGTATCATAGAAACTGAAGGCTGATAGAGGCAGCTTCAAAAATTTCAGGTTGAGGGAGAAACTTGCAGCGCACCAAAGTCTGTTGTTTGCTTGGAATCTCACTTCCTAAATGCTAAATACATGCTGCAAGAGATTAGAACCCAAATTATTTTCCCCATCCAGTAATGTCAAAGATCTGGCTGTGATTTTTACCATCACGGCAGTAAACAAAATCTGATTCTCTAACAGAAGAAAAATAGCATTTAGTCTTCAGGAAAAAACAAAAAACCTGAAGACTTTCAAATTTGAAATATAATTGCACTGCAGTGAGCAAGACAGTCTGAACAATAATTACTTTTTGCATCTCTAAATATTATGCCACTTCAGAACCTTGACCTTATATGTAGTTTGTTTCACAAACTGATAAACCATAATAAAACATATCTGCTTATTCTGTTAAGAAAGAGTTAGTTTCCACTGACTAAATCAGGTAGTTTTTTATTCTACTGAAGTACAAGGGAGGGCAGAGAGGCTTGGTTCATCTAACTTGCAAAGAGCAGAATCATCTTGAAATAAGATCCTTTGGCTCTGCTAAGCATGGAAAGGAGTATTGAGCTGGATTTCTGTATTAAGGCCAGAATCTGGAAGACAAATGCTTTTTGATTGTACTATACATAAGTCATGCTCTTGTTAGAGAAGTGTCGATATAGTCAGAATGATCAAGAACAGTATGAGGATACTCTTACTGAGAAAGCCTGTGCCAAGCCATAAAAATTCCATATGCATTACTCTTGGCAAGCTAGTATGCCAACAGCTCATTCTTCTTCTTACGTAAATTGGTTCCCTAAGCCAGCCTAAAGCCCCATAGAATGACTTCACAGGATACGTACACTACAGCAGATAAATATACACATCATAACAAACTAAACAGACGTGGTGTGAATCCCAAAGGTGAAGCTTATGAAATCCTGGCATGCGGCTTGAGAGGTCCTGGTCCTCATTTGCCACAGGCTTTTCAGTGAGGCTCTCACAAGACTTTATTCAAGGCAAGAGAAAAATAAAACTGAGCTACAGCTTATCTAGATTCTATGTGTTGTAACTAAATCTTGTATTTATGATGTTGCCATTTCATTAAAAATTATATTGTGATTTCATAAAAAATTTTTTTTTTCTATTATTAAAAAGGAAAAAGTAAAACATTCAGGTAAAACATTCTGGTTCACTTGATTAATTTCCTTAAGTGTTTAAGTCTTTCCAGCCACTAATTTACACAAATAGATTGGACAAAGAGAAAAACTTGCCAGCCTTTTACCTGGGAGCAGATGCCACATTCTTCATACTATTTCTAGCTGCAGAGGATACAAGTGATACAAAGTCATGTATATGACTATTCTAAATGTACCATTTCAGTCCTGCATTCTAAATAACTTTTCTTGAACTTATTGCTGCCACAGCTCAATTAAGAAAATATACAATATAATCTCTGCCTCAGATTACAGTAGCTAATGGAGGATTGTTACAACATCTTGCAGAACTGGAAACGAATATCAGATCTTTAGCAGGAGCTCGTGATTAAATAATGAAGTTATAAGACTAGCATAAGCAGTTTTATAGTGGATTTTATGAAGCCCTAAAAGCCAGATCATTGTTAAATTTCATTAAAATGGGGGGAAGACTTCCAAACAGATAAAACATTGAAACATCTTTTTCTTTCTAACATGGAACGTTAATTAAACAAGCTCTTCTGGGAACAACAAAACAAAAGCCTAGATTTGTACAGACTCTGTCTTCTGTCCCCTAAATCTCCACACCCTGGTACCCCAGCTCCACCCTGTATCCTCACCAGGCAAAGGAAAACAAGTGCCTCATTGTTTTGCCAGCCAGTTGTTGCCTGAAGCAATGAATAAAAGCTGGATTCTGTGTGAGTGGGGCATTCATTCCGGGTGTGTTTCTGCTACCCATCTGCCAATTTTTATGAAAACTTTAGGAACTAATTAGCTGAAATGCCCACTCTTTGATATTTCATTGAAATATGCCAGTTGATGAAAAAGTTAGGGGGAAACAGGAGAAAGGGATAATGGATAGGATTATGTAGCAGTTAAGTTCTGACCTGTGTATAACACAAGTTTAAAGCATATAGCTTAATATTAATCAGATAACTTGAACAAGCTACTCCCTGGGCGCCAAGCTATTTGTACTGGGAGGGAGGCCCTGTAATTAGTAACGTGTAAAAAAGCAGCCAACAAAAAGACACTACCACCCCACCAAAAAAAGTACCCAACCCCAAAGCCCCAAAAGTTCCCCACCTCTTTGGTTTTGAGTTCTTTCCTTATTTAGACAGGTCTCAGGTTCGTGTAAGGCTTGTCTTAATACAGAATGACTATCTACTTTTGTAAAATACTTTTTTCTTTACAGAAAGGTACTCTAAATAGATATGGAAAAGTATTCTTCACAAGTATATAAAAAGCAAACACCAGTGTCTATATGCACGTTCTCAATACTGTTAGTAATTTAAACCAGTGAACAAAACTGATAGTTCTAGTTACACTTAGTATTACAAGGACTACAAATGGTAGAGAAAGCTGAATGGAGTAAGGTGTTAAAGAACAACTGCACCATGAAAGTTTGCATCTAATTTATTCTGCACTCTCTGCCTGTACTGGATGAAACATTTGCTGAGTACAACAGATATTTTCAAATATATAGGTCAATACCAATAGTAGTGGCAAGTTCTCTCGTGCATTTCTGTTGGTGCAAAACTATTTGAAGGGTACTTTCTTCTTCAACCTCCCCACCCTCGGTTATCTCATGGCAAATGCTTGATTTCCCTGTCAGTGGTTGCTCCTGCACTGGCATGCTATCATCTTGACAGAAGCCTGATTTTCAAAAAGTGTGCATTTCACATTCCAGTTTTCTGAAAAGTAACTAAAACAAGCTGCAGGCTCAATTTCCTGAAACATCCTCAAGTCACTAGTTGCTTTAAAAGTATTTGTCTAAGAGAAATTTTGGAAATTTTTCCAAATATTTCTCAATAGCACTGAGACGTCAAGGGCTTTTTGCAGTATACTTTAAAGCTAAACTGAAAAAGCTCTTAGATAAGCTCAAACATTGTCCATGTGCATTACTCAAGAAAGTTAGCATTGATAAAGCTTTACTGGGGAACAAAATACCTCAAATTATTAATTGAAAAGAACAGTGTAAGCTGACAATTTCTGCCAGTCAGATTTCATATTGATAGACTTGTAGTTTGTTCACCAACTGTAATTATCACATTTATTGAGTTAGATGATTCTACTTAATCAAATTCCACTATATTTAACCATCTGGTAATTGGCAGGGGGGAAGAAAAGAGCATTTGATGAGCATGATTTTATACGAACAGTACTTGAAGGCTATGTAAGAAAGAGAATTACATAATACCAAAAAAATTAAGCTGAATTGGGAGTGGGGGTGTGTGTAGAAATAAGTGTAACAAGAAAATGGTGTAACAGAAGTACTGACTCTGGGAATCCTTAGTCTACTGGCGCCATACAAAAAAAATAAAGGTTGGATGTAAAACCACACAAGGTACCTTTTACTCTTAACATTTTGTGAAGCAAATATAATGTATTTCATAATAAAGAACAGAAGGGCCATTTCTGGATATTTAAACTGTCTGGAGAAGTTCTGGCTGCAATTTGGACCAGTTTTAACCTGCCACTAAAGCAATTAATGTAATGTAATAACACATTTTTCATTACCTCTCTGAATTCATTGAGATCAATTATGTGGGTAGAGAACATTAATGTTTTGTTTTTTTTTTTTTTTTAATAAGTTTTTATACCATGATGGGCCCCCCTGTTTTATTAGATGGAGGCAGACTTTGATGGTGTAGTATTGACAATTCAGCCTAAACTATATTTCAGTCAAGGACAAACAGTTTTGTAGGAATTACAGATGACTCTCCACCTCTTTTGCAACATTTGATAGAAAGTATTATTCTGACTTAAGGGGAAAATAACAAGGCACAGTCTTGTGGATGAGTCTCATGGCTAGACAGAACCTGTATGAACACTGAGTTGGAAGAACATGAGGCAGCAATGCAACTAACAGCTGCTGGACGCCTTTGGGATGACCTAGGATGTGAAGCAGCAAAGTCAGGATGATGAATCAAAACCAGACAGATGTGTTTTTGGAAAAGGGGATTGACTAATACCAAATGAAGCCACAGAAGATTCTTGGAATGAAACCAGCAATATTTTATTTGGTGACAGAGGAATCATATTGTGTCTATGCTGCATATTCTTAAAGCATTAATACCTATGGACCCAGCCAAACACTTAATGCTTTTAAAAGGATTTTTCAAGCAGAGTTATATAAATAACACTTCCAATTATTAGCACACACTGAAAATAATAATAAAAATACAGGCTTTAAATATGAGAAACTATTCAACATATATTAGAATGACTGCATGCAATTTTCAAAATAGTAAAATGTACTGGGAACAGAGCATTTAAAATTGTTTGCCTGCCACTCACATTTATTTGCCCATAGTTTTCTATTGAATCACCTCCGAATCACTTCCATTACCTCTGAATATTCAGCATTACCAGCCCTCTGGGACATGTTGCTGAATACATCAAATGATACAACCATAAGAAAGCCAGCAAGTCAAGAATGAATACTTACCTTATTCATGTCAAATGTGTGAAAAACTTGCTCAACATAACTGTTAGCTTCTGGAGTAAGTCCCTGTAGATCCAGGATGTGTTTAAATTCATGCAGACAAAGTTGTCCAGATGGGCATTCCTTCATAAATTTTGTGTAGCAGTGGTGAATTTCCATAGCATTAATGTCATCTGCTGATCCAGTGGCACCCATAGCATCAAACATATCAGGTAACCTTTTTCAGTAGTTATATGTCCAAATGTTCATTCTTGCTTTCCAACCACAAACATTTAAACACCAGTTCTGCCTTTGAGAGCTACTTTAAACCTCTTACAGATCACTACCAATATAGTCTAAGTAAATATAGCACCATAGCAAGATTACTAGCTCCCACTTTTAGTGTACCATGGTTTTATCAGCTGATTACAGTCTGTGCACAGTCAGTTGCCGAGCCTCAGCAGGGCATGAGGACTGATTATGCTGATTCTCATCTTGCATTGGCATCTGTGGTGCTAAAGCTATGTAAACTGGATGAATATTGAATAAGCAGCACACTGGGACTCTGAAAGTAGTTTCTAAACCTTTGTTTTAATAATTCACAAGGTTTTAACTAAACCTTCAGCCCCATTTTAATATTTGGATGCTTTTTGTGCAGCTGCCTTATAGCAACTGACTTTTCATTTTTATTGCTTCTGTATATACCGTGGTCCAAATCTTGCCTCATAGGCCAAAACTGAAACATGATTTGACTTTGATAACCTGAAAAAGACCGAAAGCAGCTATACACTTAGCATAAAAAACTTTAAATTGTCTTTATACATCAGTTCTACAACTATCTGAGTCTTGCACAAGCCGATAGTGTCCTAATAAGTGCTCCTCCACTGCCGCTGCTCATTCAATCCCAAGATTTCCCTTCCTTTAGGCCAGCAAGTACAGGAGAACAGATTAAGCAGGGATGGAAGAGGCTGGCCAGCAGTAGAGGGGGTGCAGGACAGCTTCTTTTGCTGATGTAAATTGTTTGTGGAAACTTGTAGAGTAATGTCATAATGTCTGTGCTGGATAGCGATACATAGCATTTTGCAGTTTTACAGTGTTTAATCCTTACAAGTATATATTATGGCATACAGTAGTTAGACTAAACTGTTGGAATGTAAAAACATAACTGTTACAGTTAAGCTGACTGTAGAGGTGTTGTGTCACCAGTAACACTCTGGTGGTGTCTGGCAAGAGGAAAGGTGAGCACTGCCCGAGCAGCATTTCAGCATTTCTGCTTCAATCCACAGAGCAGAATGCACTCCAGCTGCCCCCGGAGTGCTTATAGCTGCATGAGCTGAATTTTCCTCTGGGCTAAGGTTCAGGCTGGTTCAGTTGCAAAAATGATATCAATAGCCACGAGAAACAAATTTGACCCCAAAATTCAAAGAAAGTGAATGCTACTTCTGGACATGTCACGAACTCTGGTTTTCAGGTGACATGAGGGATGGGCAGTGGTGCATCTGTTGCATGTGCACAGTCAGGGTAGTGTAACCCAACCTGGGCAAGCTGCACCTGCAGCAGAAAGTTTAGGACAGGCTCTGTGTCACAGCATACAGGATCATGTAGTCATCCAGTGTTTTGAACTCTGTTTAATTCTTTAGGCAAATAAAGAGCTGGGACACACTAATCACATAAGATCAGAATTGCAAAATATTTCTCAGAAATAGGTACAAGCCTTCACTGCAGAAGGTGACAGGGATGGAACAAGCTGGGCTGTGACTGGAACAGGCTTTCAGTATGTATCTATAACTACGTTGCATAAAGCAAAGTCGGCAGTCTGTCAGAACAAGGCTGCTGAGGAGGGAGGGAAGGAGGAAGAATGCACACCTGGATGCCTGGAGGACTTCAATAATGATATATACTGTAGCTAACATTAAAAGGTGATTTTTCTAATCTCTGGTGTGTCCTTGCACCGCTTTCAACAGTCTCCCCAGAGAAACAATAGCTGTCTGCTAACATGCTGTTAGCTATAGGATCAAGGTCTTCAATACTGAGAAGCAACAGGGATTACCCACGTAAAATAGTGAGTAAAACCAGAATAAATGTGAAACATGTGAAGTGTTATTTGGAAATACTCCACTTCAAAATATCACTAGCAGGCAAAGAATGCTGTGTTTTTAATAACCAAGAACAGCAAGCAAAAGAAATATAGCTTGAAGTAGCAATCTTCAGTCTTTTATCTTTGTTCATCAAACCTAAATTTTCAAAAGCTAGTAATTGGAAATGCCAACACAGAATTTTCCAGGTATATACCTACCAAGTTTCTTGTTCAACAAAAAAAGAAAGTGTTTTTTAAAACTCAAATGTTACTCAGACTTTTTTTTTTTTCCCCCAGAAATAACAGCAGTATTCAAAGGAAAAAAACCCTCCTGTTTCAACCGTCAGTTTCAGAAGCCATAGATAATTAGGTTTTTTGTAATATGGGAGTCTACAGTCATTTTTTGTAGATTTTAATTTTCAAATGTGCTTCTGAAAAAAGTGACAGCATAAATGTGAGTATCAAAGACTAAGCCATCTCAGTCCTTGAAAACATGCATATTTCCTTCATATGGTATGGGAGAATTTCCTAACTCTCTTGTGTTTGACCTTACAGAAGACAAAGTTAAAATGCTAGAGAAATCCACATTTTAAGTAACTCTTCAAGGTGATTACCAAGCTGTTCCAAATTATCTATTTGAAGAATCTGAAAAAACCCTTAAATTTTACACTGCAGCATTTGACAAAATAAGCACATGAACAACCATGCAAGCTTATCAGCAGTAGTCATAATTAAAAAAGAAGCAACAGAAAACACCCAGAATACTTGAAGAAGTAGTATAATTGCCCAAAAGAAAATGTAAATATGGAATCTAGAATTAAGAGCAAGTAGGAGAAGAAGCTGCTTTTAAAGGAGTTTTTGTAGGCCCTGTTCCTGTTAGGATAGCTTTACTGGGGGATTATAGTGATGAAGTACATGCACGTTAGGAGGTCTATGTTGGCAACGCTTATTTTTAGCAACTGAATGCTATCATCATTCTCATTCTGAGGAAAAGATACTTCCGTAGTTAAAGCACAGTTTTCTCAGATGTATTGTATCTTCACATCCAGGTTAGTTGGGGATTATATTTCTTCACATGTATGACTCTACAAGCAAAGTTCAGAAGTGAAATGAGGGAGAATGCAGAAGTCCTGGAGAACTTGCATTGTAGGTCTGCAGGCAATGTAATGTAAAGGGGAGGGAAAGAAGCTAGAAGAGGAAAAGAAACACATAGCAGAAACTAACAGGATTTTGAGAATGTAAGGCACTTCAAGAAAGGATGAAAAAAACAATATATAAAATTCTGCTGCAAAAGAAGAGTGAGGCCTGGAAAGAGCAAGCTGAATTTATGTATCAAAACGAAATGCAAAACTTAATTCCAAATTCAGCATCAACAGTCATACACAGAAACCTACTGCCTGAGTAGTGCCTGTATCATATATATACCATGTGCTTAGTTTCCTTTGAATGTGATTGGTAAAAACCTCCAGGTCACCTGGAGCCTCTCAGCATTGTACCAGATGGCACCTGCACTTAGACCTTCCTATGTAATGGAAGTGACTCAAGGCTGCTAACACAGGCTATGAAATAAAGGCCCTTGACACTCTGATAAACTGTATCTAGGAAAGTTTTCTATGTATGATGCTATGAAATATAGGGCAAAAATATAATCAAGAATTTGAAACATAAAATCACAGACACTGAGGACAATGGTATGAAAACAGGGAAATCAACAACTATTTTCTGGAAAAGCTTCAAGGGACTAAACTCTGACCAAAGTTTTTTCCCCATAGCAAAATTCTCACTAAGTCTCTCTCAGTGTCATATATTAGCACCATCAGTTTCTGCAATCCACAGGAATAAGATGCTTGGACTTGAAGGATGTAGAAAGACAGCGCCATTTAGAATTTTTATCTGATCCCTTTGCTACGGTGTCAGGCAACAATCTCGACTGTGGCCATAAAAATCACAGTCACCAAACTGAAAAGTCTTATTTTCCTTTTACCTCAAAACAGTCTCTCTGTAATTCTTTGAAATATTAATGCAAAATCATTTGAGAAAGGATCACTCAGATTTAAAAAAAGAAAAAATATCATTTGTGTAATTATACTGTGGAACTGATTACCACAAGATAGTATGGAGGCTAAAAGTAAATATGAGTTCAAAAAGAAATTAGACAATTTGATGGAGGAAGAGCCCACTAAACCCATTTATTGAGCTTGTTATTTGATAGGGTGGCTGCAGGCTGCTGGAAGCAGAGAAGGTGACTGAGGTGTACCTGTTCCCTGGGCATGTGTTCCTGGCTGTTGCCAGAGACAGGAGAGGGGACCAGAAGTACTTGTGTCCTGACTAGTGAAGTATGTCTATTTTTATATACCAGACATGATCCAAAGAGTGTTTAATTGGCTTATCTTTATCCAGCTGGTGGTCAGACAGAATGAATGAAGAGCAATCATCTTGGAAAAAATGATGTGACTTTGAAGGTGCTTAGATGGATGTCTGCGTACAATGCAAGCAAACCCAGTTTATTTGTAATTTGCACATTTATCATAAAACCATTGATGTAAATTATTTTTTCTGTACAGTTTCTATTTGCATCTTCCCATCACTTTTAAACACAGGCTTAGTGCTTCCTTGTTATGACCCATTCCATTTTAATTTGCCTGCAAGCTTCTCAGTGTGCTTCTGTGTGGAAATATGCAACTGAATACTCAGTAATAAACCTGTAAATTAGTAGCTTATTATTGTGTTATGCCTTATATCTGTTTTCTTAAGTGACAATACAATAAGTACGCAGAAATCTGTTTGCTACCAAAGTCACGATGCATACAGGGAGAAAACAGGGCTCTACTGATATCAGCTAATAAGATAACAAAAATCAAAAAGAGCTGTGATAGCCTACACTGAGGAGAAGACCAGATGGCAATTAACCTGTAATTCTTCCTCTGCTATTGTTTTTATTATTAATAATAATAATTTGCAGTGGTTCTCATAAACTTTATTAGATGCTTCTTAAAAATAGTTTTGTAAGTTGTTTCTAAATTGTTGAGGTTAATTAACTAATATTCTAATGCTAGTAAAGCCCTTTATAAAGTATTAAGGTGACATCATTGTCTTTCTGGGACTCTTATACAACACAGACACTATTTTATCTAAAAAAAAAAAAAAAAAGCCCCCAAGAGAAAAAGCAACCATTCCTTCCCCCCACCCTAAGTGGGAAAAAGAGACAGGATAAA